TGCCCGGCGTGAGTTTTAAGCCACCGGGTCCGGGACACGAACCGCGGTCGACTACGTGGGAGTCCAGCGACATAGCCATTACGCTAACTGCTGGTTCCCAAGGTGCTTTCTTTTTTTATTTTAAATTTTTTCTGGCAGATTTTTGCTATAGAGTGCTTGAGCCTGGCAGAGAGACAGAGAAAGAGAAACAAAGTGAAAAATCACCCCCTGGGGTGATGGCCACGTCACAAGCCCTTCTCCTGCACTCTTCTCTCTGGATTTTGGGCACATATGCACACGTGCCTGGCTGAGTTTTAAGCCACCAGGTCCAGGACTCAATTGCGGTTGGCCATGTGGGAGTCCAGTAGTGTAACCATTACACCACCATCTACTGGTCCTGACGGGTGCTCTCTTTCTCTCCCTCTGTCTCTCGCTGGTGAGTGCACACAATCTGTTGCAAATTAAAAAAACAAAAAACAAAAAACAAAAACAAGGTGTGGGGAGGCAATAAGTAACCTTATATTGTAAGGAGCTAGGAAAAGAAGAGCAAACTAAACTCAAACTGGCAGACATAATGCAATATTAAAAACTGGAGTAAAAATAAAATGAAGAATAGAAAAACAGTAGCCAAATGACCACAAAATTGGTTCTTTGAAAAAAAAAAAACTTTACAAATAGAAATAACTAGGAATGACTAAAAAAAGAAAGAAAAAGACTCAAATGATTAAAACCAGAAATGCAATGGGAACGTTATTACAAATCTTACATATATGGAAAGAATAAGAATAATAAGAATCACTGTATGACAACAAATTTATAACTTAGATGAAATGGATGAATTCCTAGAAACCCACAATTTATCAGAACTGCAACCTGAGAACAGAAAATCTTGAAGAGACCAATAACCAGCAAAGAGATTAAAGAAGTAATCAAAAACCTCCCAGGAAAGAAAAGCCCTGGACTAGATGGCTTCACTGGTGAATACCACTACACATTTAAAGATTTAATAGCAAACCTCAAACTCTTTCAAAAAAATTGAATGAACACTAATCACTAACCACTATAGATCATTGATACTGAAGCTAGAAAAAGATAAGTAAGTAAACTTTAGGGTCAGTGGGTGGTGTGGAGGTGCTGGAAAGTGCACAGCAAACTGTGCAGTTGGAGTCCTGGACAGGCAACTAGAAAATCATGCTGGACACATGTGTGTGTGTGTGTGTCCAAAATCCCGAGAATGGAGAAGAAGGGACTGCGGCGTGCCCCCCCCCGGGGGGGAGTGATTTTTCACTCCCCTTCCCTGAGCCTCCCATCTGTCTCTGTGGCTAGTACATGGGCACTATAGTAAAAACTAAAAAAAAAAAAAAGTAAAAGAAAAAGTAAACATCAGATCGATATCCCTTATGAATAATTATATAAAAACCTTTGTCAAAAATACTACTACAGGGAACCAGCAGTTAGCGTAATGGCTATCTTGCTGGACTCCCACGTAGTCGACCATGGTTCGTGTCCTGAACCTGGTGGCTTAAAACTCACGCTGGGCACGTATGCGTGCGTGCCCAAGATCCCGAGAGGAGAATGGAGGAGAAGGGATTGCAGTGTGACCATCCCCTCTGGGGGGTGATTTCTCGCTTTCTGTCTCTATGTCTCTCTCTGTCTGTCTGGTGAGTGCATGGGACCTATAGCGAAAAACCTCTCAAAAAACAAACAAACAAACAAACAAACAAAACCTACTATTACAGAATACAGAAACAAACAAAAGAATCATACACTATGACCAAGTTGCTAGTCTGATGAGCTTAAGTGTTGCAAGTATCTGCTTAAAACACCTATGATACTAATTATCTCTATATGAGCAATTGTGTTCCAATAAATTGCATACTGCCCTAAAAAGTGACCTCTTGAGGGTCTCACATATATTTCATTGTGTTTCATGTAATACTGTAAACTTTGAGTAAAATAAAATTTTTATGATGATTTATTCATTAGTGTAGCAACTAGGCTATTGTGAAGCAATCATTGATTATCTAGGTTATCATAAAGTGATCATATTACTTCTTATTGATTATCAATATATGAATCATTATACCTATAAGTATGAATTTCTTTTTCACATCACCTTTCCATTTTGTTTTCTAGTGTTTGTAACATGTTCAACATCTAGTGTTCTGTACCATATAAGACAACACCAATATAAGTACTACTAGAAAGACAATACATTTTATATACAGATGATGAAAACCTATTACTACATAGTATGAGTGTATTTTCCTTATGAATATCCTAATAACATTTTTTCTTTAGCTTCCTTTACTATAAAGATATTGAGTGTGTATATATACATACACACATATATACACAATATGTTATTTTAACATATACAATACAAAATTTATTAATATTTATAACACATAATTATATATAACACATATAAATATATAAAGTACATAAAAATACGTGTTAATGAACTGCTCAATATTATTAGTAAGACTTCTGGTCACCAGTAGGTTTACTGGGAAATCAACAGTTATATACGGGTCCACCTGTCGTCGCATGCGCTGCTTTGCAGCAAATACTACTTGGTAGGCTGAGGACACATGGGGGATCCAGGTTCGTTTCCAGGCCCACCCTAAAAGCTGGACACAGTGGCACATATCTATGGTTACAGCTACTCGGGAGTCTAGACAGGACAACTGTGACTCAGTGAGATCTTTTCTAAGGAAAAAAGCTATATGAAGATTTCTGACTGTGTGGCAGTGCTGGTGCTCAAACCCCTGCACTGTTCAAGGGTTGACTGTGTATTTCTTTGTATAGCTCTCTGGGAACAATAGTCATGTTCCTAGTATCCAAAATAAAAACAATTTAAAGTAAGCACAGTATTTGTGTGTATGTGCAGGGGCGGGGAGAGGTGGACACAAAATGAAATAACAACAGTCACAGATGAATCTAAGTGGATTAGAAATGAATAGTGTAACCACAAGGAAAGATGAGAGGAAACCAACCAACCTAAGTAATTAAAAAAACAGTATTTCTTTAGTAGGGCTAAAGACAGAGAATTGTATACAAATAAAGTCTAGGACTCTCCCATGGGAATACTGGCTAGCAATTCTGAAATTTCTTCATGTGTATATTAAGATTGAATGAGTTAGGACCAGCAGTTAGCGTAATGGCTGTGTCGCTGGACTCCCACGTGGTCGTCCGCGGTTCGCGTCCTGGACCCGGTGGCTTAAAATTCACGCCGGGGGCGTGTGCGTACGTGCCCAAGATCCCAAGAGGAGAATGGATTGCAGCGTGACCATCCCCCCTGGGGGGTGATTTCTCGCTTTCTTTCTCTCTGTCTCTCTCTGTCTGTCTGGTGAGCACACGTATAGCCAAAACTTCTCCAAAAAAAAAAAAAAATGATTGAATGAGTAAAGAGTAAATATATCACATATAATTATATTTGTCACTGTAAGATAAGGAAAGGATTTCTTGGAAAAATGTTTGGTTCTAGAGTTGGGGCAGGAAAAACACAAGTTCATCTAGTAATGCCAGAAAGGAAGGGATTAAAAATATAATAATTGGGTACACTGAAAAGATAGAGGATGTGACCTGAAGGAGCTCTCAATGACCAAAGCTTGGAGTCTGATCAACAAAATAATGCTAGAATTATAGAAAAACAATAGTATTATGGTATAATAGAGTAATAGAATAAGATACATGAACTCATACTGATAGAAATAACTGAATAAATACATGAGGGAAAAAGAACAGCTTTTCTACCCAGCATAACTCTAAGTAATGTAGAAGAAATAATGAAAATAAAAATTCACCATTAGGTAAATAGTACATAAACTGTACAGGCAGAAACCATCAATTGTTGCCAAAATTAGAGGGTGAAAGAATATCTGCACGGTCCCAAACAGACTTTATTAATTAGAAAGGAGAGAAAAAAACAAAAAAGTAACGTTATAGTGGAGAAAACTAATGAAATTAGTTTTCGCCTTAATGAAATTAACATTTGCAAGTCACCATTACGTATCCCTATTTCGCTTGTATGACACACTGAGAAAGGCACGATACTTGCAGTATTACTGACAGATATTCATAACCTTGGGCGAATCCATAGGAAAACATTAGATAAACCCAAACTGATGAGCATTCTACTAAGTGATGAAATGTGTGAAGGTCACGAAAGACCAAGAAAGACTGAATAACCATCATATACGGAGGAGGCTAAGGACACTTGACAACTAAAAGCACTGTGGGAAAGTGGATCATGAAAGGACATTAAGGGCAAAACAGGTGCTACTCGAATAGGGTCTAGAGACTAGCGAGTAATACCGTTAAGTTTGACTACGGTTTTACAAGATGTTAACATTAGTAAATGAAGGGCATGTAAACTCTGTACTGTTTTTACAACTTCCTGTAAGTTTAAAATAATTAAAAGATAAAAAGTTAAAAAAGAGAAAACATCAATAGCATATCTAAACCTTTGGCGACCATGGTTGGATGGATTCGTAATTATTTACCATGCTGAATTAATATAATTAATAATTATTTTTATATTAGCAAATCTTGGGAGAAAGTATACTTGTTTCTGCAAGCTCTACCATTCTGTTTACATCTTCATAATGATGCAGTATTGTAATTTATACATTAACTTTTTTTTAACTAGTAGCAGTCAATTCTTTGAGAACAGGGACTGAAATTTAGTAATCTCTAAATTTTCCTTATAAATATCCTAGTAACATTTTTTTTCCTTAGCTTCCTTTACTGTAAAAGCTTCCTGTACACACACACACACTATATGTTAACAGGCAGTACATATATACATGAAACACGTATATATATGTATATATATGTCATTTAAAGTATATAACAAAGTTTATTAATATTTATAACACATAAATTATAAATGTTATGTCTTATAAATATGCTCTGTGATTTGTACAATTTTTGTCAGAAGGAAATATGTAATAAATGTACTGTGAATGAGTAAAAATTAAGTAAAAATCTAAATGCTGTAGGAACCATCTACTTACGCTCAACGAAGGAAGTAAAGAGCATCCTAAACCTGCTGAGGCGACTTCCCTCGTCTGCCCACATCCGTATCACTCCAACGCCTGTCTTAAGCATTACGTCATTGGCGACAGTGCTGCAAAACTTGGCCTTCAGGTTTTCAATAGAACTGCTTCCATCATAGACTGCGACAAAGTTTCTCTTGCATTCATTTGAGTGCTCCATTTGATAATCTAGGAACCTCAAATAAATCTGTAACATTGAAAGGAGAACAGTTTTTACAAAGATGCGCTAATTTGAAATTTTCCATTTCTATCATTTATAGCCCACATGGTAGAATGAATCATGACAGCCGACAGAAAAACGTAACAGGTATCAGGCTGATGTCTAAGGAGTTGAAAGAACTAAAATTAATGGTCTGTTTCTTTCATTGTCTTAATAATGGAACTGAGTATTAAGGAACCTGAAGTTTATGTTTTGTCTATGAAGAAAACTTTTTCTACATGAGACATTAACTATTACATATTTTCCTCTTCCTAAAAGAATCTCACGGTACTGACAGGGAAATATAAGAATCATTAGTAATTCTATTGTTCTACAAATCAAAGTGATTAACTGACAAGTTTTTCAGGCCTTTTTGCATATTTTTACAACTTAAGTTTAACTGTAAAACACATAAGATCCATTCGTTCTCCTTCGGCTATGCTTCCTATCCCCTTTATCTTTATCTTCCTATCCCCTTCATAACCATACTCATTCCCATAATGTCCTCCCATTTGCCCACGATCTTGCTGTTCCTCACTGGGGCTGCTTTAAGATTTCACCACTTAATAACAATTTCGATATTTTCAGACAAGAAGATATGGATTGTAGTTTCAAAGTAAGCATGATTAACATCTTCTTTATTCAAATTTTATATGCAGTTAGTTTGCTACCTGGGACTAAGTTATTCCTTTTTTAAAGAGAGATTTTTTGCTATAGGGTGTGTGTACATGCCAGAGAGACAGAGAGTGATAAATCACCCCCCATTGGGATGGCCATGCTGCCATCCCTTTTGCTCCATTCTCTTCTCAGGATCTTGGGCATGCACACACACACGTGCCCGGCGTGAGTTTTAAGCCACCGGGTCCGGGACCTGAAATGCGGTCAGCTATATGAGAGTCCAGCGACCTAACTATTACACTGTCTGCTGGTCCCAGGACTAAGTTACTTCTTAAAATACACTTGGCCCATTCTCATTTGAGAATATCTCTAAGGAAGAAATATGTTCCCCCATCTTTTAATTTAAAGGACTTAGTAAACAAAAATGTCATGCCACATAGTTTTCCCCTTAAAACACCTTGATGGCATAAAACTAACAGCAAATAACCAAAAACTCAAGCTCAGAAAAAGTTAAGTTTTGGCCAAGTAACTATGCTTTATCTGAAGTGATGAATTTAGCCATATCTATGAGAATGGTGAAAAATTCGTAATGAACTAGGATTTCCATTTCAAAACTTTATCAAATCTTAATGCATGTATTTAACAAAGAAATACATTTCCTTAAATATATAACCAATTCTCATTAACTTCTCCATCATTTACATGTCCAAAACATGGCTCATGTTTCTATGGCAGCAAGTACCACTAATAATACTGTAATTATGTGTGTCTTCTATTAGACAGTAAGGTCTCCCCGTGAGAACATCATACGCTAAATCATGCCCAGGATAATCTGTGCTCATACATGACTGATTAGGTTTGGAAAACTCTGAATTGGTAGAACTACATACTAGCACAACAGCCAAGATGTCTGAAGTATTTACTCCCTGCTTTTCTTTTTTTTTTTCAAGAGGTTTTAGTCATAGGGATGCGTGTGCTTGCCAGAGAAAGAGAGAGACTGAGAGAGAGAGAGAATAAAAAATTATTCCCTGGGGGCATGGCCACTCTACAATCTCTTCTCTTCTATTCTCCCCCTGGGATCTTGGACACGCACCACACATGTCCCATGTAATTTTCAAGCCACTGAGTCTGGGACTCAAACTATTGTCGGCTATGTGGAGTCCAGCGATGTAATCGCTACATTATCTGCTAGCCCCTCTACTTTATTTTAATACAAAGAAATATTGTACAGTAAAAGGCTACAGCAAGTGCTCTTCAAAAATAAACTACTTTGGGGGCTGGCAGGTGGCATAGTGGTTAAAAGCTGGATTCCCATATGGCCGACTGCAGTTTGATCCTGGACCTGGCATCTTGCTTTCTCACTTTCCCTTTTTCTCTCTCTCTGGTCACAGTCAAATTAAAATAATAACAACAACAGAAATGAATAAATAATTCTAAAAAAAAATCTACTTTTCTCTCACTTCAGGTGGCATAAGATGGTTGACTTAAGCGCTCTTGCCTCCTCATGCACCCCTATATCCTATTCTGGGAGACAAATGAGTTACTTGTATGGTGAGGGGTTGATCTCTTTTCCTTCCCTCTACCTGGATTAGTGAATAGGAAACAATGACCTGGATAAGCAGGTCTGTTCTGCAGATACAAACTTTCCTTAAAATGAGCTGGTCTAGTGTAGACTTAGGTGTGAGGTAGAATTGGTGGGCAGGAAGTTAGCAAGGCTAATCTGACTGTCTCAGTAAGCAACTTTCCCTCCCCTGGCCTGTACAATAATGAAGAGCTGTTCTGAATCTCACACATACAATTTTATATCTCAACTGGTTCAGAACTTCAGTGAGGAAAAGAGATGCTATTTACTTAGGTCCCCAAGGACCACAAGAGAAATTAAATAAATGCACAGAAAGGTATTACAATTATGGAAAGGTCACTGATAAAAAATGGAGTAAAATACTACATGCACACTCTTAAACATCAATGCTTAACTATATCTATAAGTGGATTTTTTTTTTTTGTGAACATCCACCCATTAGTTTAGCCCAATTTGAGTATTTAAGAGCTAAAGTGGCCTTAACATTTTGAAATTTACATTTAAAGAAAAATAGAATCATGGTCTTTCCAACTTGGGCCAGGCAGAATAGCTCTCTCAAAAAAAGGGTGGAGAGAAGGGTTGTTCTGCCATCAACGAGGGGGTGACCCAGGAATACACCATCAACAGTCACAAGTGCATCCATGGCGTGGGGGGCACTCAGAGAAATACAGAAATTTGCCATGAAGCAGATGAGACTCCAGATGTGTGAATTGATACCAGGCTCAACAAAGCTGTCTGGGCCAAAGGAATAAGGCATGTCCTGTATGGTATCTGTGTGTAGTTTTCCAGAAAAAGTATTGAGGATAAAGATTCACCCAACAAACTCTACACTCTGGTGACCTATGGACCTGTTAACACTTTCAAAAATTTACAGTCAGTGTGGATAAGCACTAAGTGCTGATTTCCAAATAAAGTTATAACTGCCCCCCCCCCCCAAAAAAAACCTACAAAAACCCAAATCACAGTGCTGGCAGGTGGTGTAGTGGATTAAGGCACTGGACTCTCACATAGTCAACTATGCTTCGAGTCCCACACCTGGTGACTTGTCTTCTCACTTTCCCTTTCTTTCTGTTTCTCTCTGGTCAAATTAAACAATAATAATAAAATTAAATAAGTAATTATTTTTAAAAATAGAATCATGTTCATTCATTTAACTTAACGCTTAATTTTTGAAGTTGGAACCAACTAAAATGTTGGGGGTCAACAGATGGTGTGGTGGTTAAGGTAAAGGGCTCCCACTTAGCTGATTCTGGTTTGAGTCCCAAAACTGGCAGCTTGCTTTCTCACTCACTCTCTCTCTCCTTTGTGTGTCTCTCTCTGCTGAATGCACATGCCCTATAGAAAAATTTTAAAAATAATAATAGGGACCAGCAGATGGCATAATGGTTACATCACTGGACTCCTACAAAGTTGACCACAGTTCGAGTCCCGAACCTGGAAGCTTAAAACATTCCAGGAAAATGTGCGTGCATGCCCAAAATCCTGAGAGGAGAAAGGAGAAAAAGGGATAGAGGTGTGGCCATTTCCCCCAGTGGATGACTTCTCAGTGTCTGTCTCTGTCTCTCCAGTGAATGCACACACCTTATAGCAAAAATCTCTCTAAAATAATACAATTAAAAATATTCTAAAAAAAGGTCAACTGTATATAACATTTAAAAAATTTCTAAATATTGATTAACTTTCTCCAAATTACCAAAAAATAAGTAACAACACAGCAGTACCAAGTCCTTATCAACAACTCCCTTGAATGTAAGTGAACTAAACTGTCCAATTAAAAGACAATAGTGGCTGAATGGATTAAAACAAACAAAACAAAAAAACTATAGGCGCTAGCAGGTGGTATGGTGGTTAAGGCACCAGACTCCCAAATGACTGACCATGATTTAAGCTCTGGACCTGTAGCTTGAAAATCACACCAGGTGCATGTGTGTGCATCTCCCAAATCCTGAGGAGAATGTAAGAGAAGGGACTGCAGCATGGCAAACTCCCTGGGGGATGATTTCTAACTTACTCTCGCTGTCTCTCTCCAGCAAGTACATGCACCTTATGTAACAAAAATATGAAAAACAAAAAACAAAAACGAAATCTCAACTATATGTTGCCTACTTGAACACCTCACCATCAGCAATGGACAGAGCACACAGACAGAAAATCAACAAAGAAACATCAGGTTTAAACTGCACTACAAACCAAGTAGACTTAACAGACATTTACAGAACACTATACAATGATGTTGGATATGTATTATTCTCTTCAGCACACGAAACATTCTCCAGATTAGATTATACGACAGGCCATAGAGCAAGCCTCAAAAAACATTTCTTTTTTGGAGAGGTTTTTGCTATAGGGCACGTGTGCTTGCCAGAAAGACAGAGAGACAGAAAAAGAGAAATCACCCCCATGGGGGAATGGTCACGCCGCAGTCCCTTCTCCTCCATTCTCTTGTCAGGATCTTGGGCATGCACACACATGTGCCCAGTGAGAGTTCAAGCCACTGGGCCTGGGAAACGAACCACGGTCGACTACATGGGAGTCCGACGACATAGCCATTATGCCAATTGCTGGTCCCTCAAAAAAAAAAAATTTTTTTTTAAAGAAATCATATTAAGTACTTTTTTTTTTTAATGACCAAAATAGAATAAAAGTAGAAATTGATAACAAAAGGAATTCTGGTCATCACAAATACATGGATATTTTTTAGTCTAACTTTATCGATTTTCTTTTTTAAAATTTGACCAGAGAGGGACAGAGAGACAAAGAGTGAGAGTGAGAGAGGACAAAGAGAAAG